CATTCTTAACTTTCTACCATTCATGACCAAACTCAATAGTTTTACATATCAGCAAATTGTGGATAAGTATTTACATATCGACTATAGTTAATTCAGAATATGAAACTCTCATTCCTAAACGGTTTCTATATGTGTTCGTACTTCTAAATTGCCGGACACCAAACTGTTATGTGATCTTAAGTTCCTTAATCAAAATTACTTTTTACTGGATAAAATCATCAAAGACTTAGTAGTTATATCATCCTAGTATGATTTTCATTAAACATACAATGTATTCAGGTTTTGAAGGTCTGTTTGCTAGCATAATACTGTCAAATAACTTAGTTATGATCAAATGACCTATATTATGAGTCATACTTAATTTGTGATAATTTCTGTTAGCCTTTTTTCAATATGGTCAGTTGATTACCGTCTAAATTCTGACTTGGTTGACTTTACAAGCTCCAGTTGTGGATACTATACCAGTATCCTCTTGCATTTTACTTACATACGCCTGTTACTCCCAATGGAGCATAGACGCCGGCCAGCATTCACCAACCCACTCCGTACTGGGCCTTTCTTTCTAGTTCTATCCAAGTTTTGTTCATTATTTTCATGTCTGTCTCCATTTCTCGGTGTAATGTGTTCTTTGGTCTTCCTCTTCTCATTTGGCTTTGAGGGTTTCAGGTGAGGGTTCGCCTTATGACGCGGTTGGGTGCTTTCCTCAATGTGTGTCCTATCCCCCTCCAGCGCTTCTTCCTCCTCTGGAATCTGGTTTGTTCTCTCCCACAGTAGTTTGTTGCTGACAGTGTCTGACTAATATGCAAAATATTCTTTGCAGACAAGTGTTAATAAACACTTGCATCTTCTGGATGATGACTTTCGTAGTTTTTCAGGTTTCCGCCTAATAAAGTAGAGCTGTTTTGACATTTGTATTGAAGATTCTGACTTAGGTGTTGGTTAAAAGTTGTTTTGAGTTCCAGGTGTTCATCAACAATAGATATGCTGCTCTTGTTTTGCCAATCCACGCCTTCACATCTGTATCAGATCCACCGTGCTCATCAATGATGCTCCCCAGGTATGTAAAGGTTTCTACACTTTACAAAGCTTCTCCGTCAAGTGTGATTCGATTGACGCCTGTTTTGTTGCATCAGAGAATTTCGCTTTCCCATTTGTTTATGTTGAGACCTACTGATGCTGAGATTGCCGCTACACTGGTCATCTTCTCCTGCATCTTTTGTTCTTGGATTTCTAATATTTAACTAAATGATATCACAGCGGGAATTTGTGTAGATTGTAGTATTTTAACAGTTGAATTCAGCTACACCATCATTGAAAACCTGGAACAACCGTCCAATACTTTAAAGTTTTCAATAATAGTTTAACTTCGATCGACTTATGAATTCAACTGTTAAATGATATCACTTTAAGATGAGAATTCCTTATAAAGTCACTAAAATTTCAACAAATCCACCTAATTTGATATAAATTTAAAGCTTCTACTACAACTTTTCTAATGGTTTGATCATTCTACATAATATGTTAATAACTCTGATAAAATTTGGGATAGAAATCATGTCAGGAATTATGATTCGAAGAAAAACTTTTCAAATGATTATAGTTAGTTGATAAGATCATTGAAGTAAATCTATCCATTAGAATATTTACGCTTTTGTAGAATAGAAAAGTTCACCCCATTTCTAATCCAGTTTAAAATGTTCTGTCTTCTAATTTATTCAAGAATAGTTTGTTTTTCTTTCTTAATGATCAATTCATTTGATTATTTTTAGTCTTTTCAGATTGAGTTTATCTAAGATTAGAATGTTATTATAGAAAGGAAATGTTATTTGTCTTTACAACTGCTTGACTATTCAATGAAATCATTCGACAAACATACATACTTCCCATTGTATTTTGATTATAGCTTACGTTTAGACTATACAAACTTGCTTTCCTGTGGAGTTCAACTAAGTCTGTTGTAGAGATATCAACTCATTGAAGACAATTGGTGAACGGTTGCTCAAAAAAACATCGTGGATTGGTTGAAATTAGACATTAACACCGTTTGATGCTGTCTCAGTGCCCTGGTGCGAGACTGGTAGGTCATGGGTTCGAATCTCGCGAGTGCGGGATCGTGGATGCGTACTGCTGAGGAGTCCCATAATAGGATGAAACGGCCGTCCATTGCTTCCAGATTTTCCATGGTGGTCTAGCTTCAATTGATTCATGATTTCAACTATGAAAATACTGAAATCACCACAAAACCCATTCTGATCTATTTCCCTTTTGTAGAAAAGTTCATTCCATTTCTAATTGAGCTAGAAATGTTCTGTTTTCTAATTTATTCAAGAATAATCTTTCTTAACGATCAACTAATTTGATTATTTTTAGTCTTTTCAAATTGAGTTTATCTAAGATTAGAATGTCATTATAGAAAGGAAATGTTTGTTTGATTATTCAATCAAATCATTCAACAAACATACACATTTCCCATTGTATTTGGATTATGGTTGACGTTTAAACTATACAAACTTGCTTTTCTGTTGATGACATATTGGTTGTAACATTTTGATAATCCATTTATTAACCATCAGATAGCATGAATACTATGGGAAAAGACAAAGCAGTTTACATCTGAAGAGGAAATTAGGAAAAGACATTGGAAGTTGATTTGAACAGAGAAATAGGAAGCCTTGAAAAACTACGGAAGATATTTTTGCGGACGTTATTTCATTTAATTCAAAGCTTGTATAACAGTAACATTTACTTTTGTCCCTAATCTACTTTACAGGTCATGAGCTTTCGTTTGATGTATGATTCACTGCCATAGCCTTTTCTGTTCGTTCCAAAGCTATTGTAATTAAGATGTAGCCTTTTGTACTCTATTTTCTAATCTCATCCCCCAGTTTTGAAGATAATTTTATTTTCCTAATTGTTGTACGTTGTGATCGGGTTAGTCGTCTTTTTATTCATGTATTTTTTTACACTTATCTGAAATCGGGTACCAGATCGGATTTCGGAATAAATCGAGTAGTGTTCCAGTTGTCTTGTCTTCTCTCTTTTGCGCTTTTCAGCCAATTGGGTGGTAGAATAGTTTTCGTCTCTCTACCCCACTTCGAACTCACGTATACTAGGCTCAAGGTTAAGCCAGTCAGTCAATCGCTTCAAGGTCTTAATCTACCTTAGACAAGTTATCCTCGGCACGAAAGTAAGTAGACAGATCAAGGACGTAACAGAAGTGGAGAGGACATACATTACGGAAGTCATCAAACTGCATTACGAGGTAAGCGCTATCTTGGAATTCTGAAAGGAAATGGAAAAGAGGAAGGCCAAAGAACACACTGCTTCGGTAAATGGAAGCAAACATGAAAAGGATGAATAGCAACTGGAAGGAATTGCCCAGGACAGTTTTGGATGAATAATTCTGGTGTGTAGCCTATGCTCCTCAACGAGGGGTAAAAGACATAAGTAAGATAGCATGGATCCAAAACAGGAAAGAACTGATCTAAACTAAATTGATGGTTCGAGGAATTTGATGATGACTAATCAACCCATGCTCTATTTCCTTGTAATACTAAGTAAAATTAAACATCTCCAGGCATTTTACATTTCTCTGTAATATTTTAAGACAATCTTTGTTAACTTTTATTATATGTCTAATGGTATGAATTAGGTTGAACAAGTTTGCAAATCATATTTTTATTCTCTATTCAACTCTTTGTTCAACTTTATCGTGAAAAGTAGCAAGCGAGACCAATATACTCTTGAACTATATGTGATGCGATTGATTAGCAACCAAGATTGTCAGCTTTAAACCAGTACGCTTTAGGTTCAAAGTCCGTCTAAACTATATTTCAATCTCAGGAGTTGACTAGCAGTTACCCTATTCTTTATATAAGAAATGTAGTTCAGAATCGATGACAAAAAGCAAAACTTCAATGACTGATGATAGTGTTTGTAATAACTGTTAAATGCTTCATAGATAACTACTGCTACTCAATTTCTCTACATTAAGCAAAATATATTCATGAATGTTTTTGCCTTTTAACCTTGGTTTATTTCTATCTACTATGCTGAGTTTTAGATAAATCTGAGAATTTCTACTTTTTTTGTTGAGCAAAAGCAATAAAAACAATCATTCGATCCACATACTTACGCCTGTTACTCCCAAGGGAGCATGGGCCGCCGACCAGCATTCTCCAACCCACTCTGTCCTGGGAAATCTGGTTGTTAGAAGGTGCATTGACCTCATGACTTCCGAAGGAACTCGGCTTTCATCATGAGACGTCATAATTATTTCTTCTACTCCCAGAGCAGAGTTTAAATGGTTTGAATAATTTTTTTTCTGGCTAGCGTTTTTTAGCGAGTTGGTTTTCTACGGGATGGGATCGCTAACCCCATGCCCAACTCTCCTCCTTTACCCGGGTTTGGGACCGGCAGTAGCCCCCGGAGGAGCTACAGACGGAGTTCCAGTATAGTAATAAATTACGATATCACACAATTGAATATACATCCAAGCGATGACAAGTTTGAAAGATACATCAAGTGTTTTGTAAGCTTCCAAAAAGGTGGAGATAGAATAAAAGTCGATTCTAAACGTTCTTGATTTATGAAAGAGAGAAAAAAAATAAGCTACATTTTAGATCTCTAACTTTTTTATTAGAGATATATTGAAATATAAGTATAACATGAGAATTCATACACATATCAAGCTTAAACGGCAATAATAAAAGAGATAGATGACAAAAGAATAAATACTGATTACAAAGTTATTAGTTTCGTGATAGTGAATAGTTAACACTTACATGAATATACTATTCATATCTGTTGTAGTGCTGTGTACTTCGCTAATCGTTCACTTCGATAACCGTTATAATACAAATCTTAACGGTGCATCAAATCAGAAGGTAAAGAGAAGCGGTAGCTACAGTTTATTGTCAAATAACGCAGATCAGATAATGAACTCATATGAGAAGTTCTCTATTGACAATCTATCTGATGGTCTACTTTCTTTTTTTTTTCTAAACTTTACCAACAGCATCATAATAATCTAAACGTAAACCTAACCATACATTTATATAATCTTTATCATGTATTGAACAATGTATTAATCGAGGTATAGAATTTATGATAGATGGTTCTATTGGAATTTGTCGTTTAAGCCATCCTATACAAACACGTGCTGATTCATTTGGTTCAATTATTTTACCATTCATTTTCATTTCGCTGAATTCATTTCGAGTTTTTAGATTCCCATGATTTTCTATTAATTCTTTCAACATATCTGTATTTAATGGTCCAGGTGAATAATTCAATATAGCTAATGATGGATTATCTATAGGTAAACATTTAAAATACATTTGTCTAGCTGCTTTACTAATACAATAGTCTGACATACATGGAAATGGTTGATCCGCTGCTAAACTAGATATATTCACAATTGTAATAGGTTGATGATAAGATGTAAAATAGTCTACAAATAAACTAGTTAATAAGATTGGTATAGTTAAATTAGTATGATAATAAGTATCTAACGCATCAATATTAAAACGTTCATATGATTTTGAATGGATATTACCTAATGTAGCTGCATTATGTACAAGCATATTCCATTGACATTGAATATTCGATTTAATAGGATATGATGAAGCTAATTGAAATAACGGATTTAAATCATTGAGTAAATTTTCTTTATTAGCATTGGACATATCAAGTGATGATGTTGAAACTAGGATAGTTAATTTCATTTCAGAATTAGTTGACAATGAAGCATACATCTATACAAGAAGAAAGAAGAAAGGCATTGAATTATTTACATAAATTTAAACAATTTGTTTATTTATACTTGAAATCATGAGTCAGTTGAAGCTAGACCACTGTAGAAAAACTGGAAGCACTGGACGGTCGTTTTGTCCTATTGTGAAACTCCTCAGTGGCAGTGCGCATACACGATCCCGCACTCGCGAGATTCGAACCCAGGACCGACCAGTCTCGCGCCAGAATACTTGTTTATTTATGAGACATTACATTGTTTTTTTGGTTAGCGTTTTTTAAGCGATTTATTTTTTATACGGGATGGGGTCGCTAACCCCATGCCTAACCCTCATCTTTTACCCGGGCTTGGAAGCGGGAGTAACTCTGGAAGAGCTACAGGCGGAGAATGATGGTGGGTGGCCTGTGCTCCTCCACGAGGGGTAACAGGCGTAAGTAAGTAATGAGACATTATAATGAATAATAAGTAATATAAATAAATAGCTTTAAAGTAGTTATTGTTTAAACAAACATTACTAATTAAAGATGACTACAGAAATATTATAATTATATCTCAACACTTTTTACCTACTTACTTACGTCTGTTACTCACAATGGAGCATAGGCCGCCGACCAGCATTCACCAACCCACTCTGTTCTGGACCTTCCTTTCTAGTTCTATCCAATTTTCGTTCATTCTTCTCATGTCTGTCTCTATTTCTCGAAGTAATGTGTTCTTTGATCTTCCTCTTTCCTTTGACCTTCAGGATTCCATGTGAGGGCTTGTCTTATGATGCAGTTGGGTGATTTCCTCAATGTGTGTCTCATCCACTTCCAGCGCTTCTTCCTGATTCCTTCCTTCACTGGAACCTGGTTTGTTGTCTCCCACAGTAATTTGTTGTTGATAGTGTCTGGCCAGCGGATCCGAAGTATCTTGCGTATACAGCTGTTAATAAACACATGTATCTTCTGGATAATGGCTTTCGTAGTTCTCCACGTCTCCGTTCCATACAGTAGAACTGTCTTGACATTTGTATTGAAAATTCTGATCTTGGTGTTGGTTGACAATTGTTTTGAGTTCCAGATGTTCTTTATTTGTAAATATGCTGCTCTTGCTTTGCGGGTCCTCGCCCTCACATATGCATCAGATCCACCATGTTCACCAATCATGTTGCCCAGATATGTGAAGGTTTTCATATCCTCCAAGGCTTCTCCGTCAAGTGTAATTCGATTGGTGCATGTTGTATTGTATCGGAGAGTCTTGCTTTTACCTTTGTTTATATTGAGACCTACTGCTGCTACACTGGTCGTCTTCTCCTGCATTTTTTGTTGCGTGTGTGATAGAAGAGCCAGATCATCTGTGAAGTCTAAATCATCCAGCTGCAATATCTCAGCACAGTCTATATGAAAAATAAAATCCATGAAATCATTGATTGTTGAACTGAATCGTACAGATAGATCCAAATAACTTGGTTGAAATTTGTATAGTTTTGGTAAATAGTAATCGGAGATAATGGGTAACATGGCTTAAAATTTGTCGTAATAGTGCAGATGTATTCGTTCTTTATTTTGCCCTAGATCTTGAGTTTTAAAATCATTTTATGCATATTATCCAGTGAACTTTTTCTTTTACCTAGGTTTACTGTATTTATGCCTAATCTTCTCCCCTACCATTGATACTGTTACTGCTTTCACTACTCTGAAATTTCTCTTAATAACTCTATTTAGCTGTATTGGTAAGTTGTGACAATTTGAACTGATGTACATATATTTCAGTTTATACGTTGCATATGACTGACCACCTAAGTGCAACACTTTTACTTTTGTTTCTACCAACCATTATCATCTATTCTGTTTGTCTTTTGAGTATTATATTTGAAAGACGTTGACAATAACATCGGCCATTTAGGCTGTATTAAAAACTACTTTAACATAAAGCTTTCAGTACAACAGAGTATCAGAATGAAGAATGCACGATCCACATAGTGTAATAACAATATTTCACAAAAATAGAAAGAACGAAAAGGTAAAATTATGGGATAAATGGCCAGGAGAAGGATATTTTTGAAAGATACATTTTAATAATCAAAATAATTAACTAGATCGGGAAACCCATAATTGATGGGAAAAGTTCCTAAATAAAGATCTGTAGAATGTTAGCAAATATGCATGGATGAAGATCATAAGTTAACAAGACACAGATATGATAACAAGAATATAGACATAACTACGTAATAACTTCGTACGAAATATGAAACATAAAAAAAATAATTTCGTTTCGTGAAGCATTGTAAGGAGATGCAGTCCCATGGTAACCGATGATCAACGATTGATTCATACGCCATTTGTCTCCTCAGAATACTGGAGCCCATATGCACCATTGGTTTGGAATCAGGGTTTTCCAACTCCCCCAGGTGAACTCGCCGTGTCCAGCAACCCGGTTAAAGCGGCGGACATTCGCTTTCCGTCTTGTGAAGTTTCGTAAACAACACCCCCGCCACGAGAAGGCAGTGGGTAGGACTTCCCTGGCAGAGCCTATATATATTCGCGTGGCCATGTGAGAGCATTTCGAGAGGGAGAGCGGACTCTCCCCACTCTCGGCCGTACCAGGGCATATACGTACTACAAAAAAATATTATTGGCTGTATTTTGTTATAAACCATATAAGGTGTACATAGCTAGGAAAATTGCCAACTAATTGATATAGATACAGTTTCAATTATTGAGCTTTTATTGCATTCACTCTTTACCTTCTTCGCTTGAGATTTTTAGTTCCAATATACTTTCAAACACCCCCTTCATCCGTTCTTTTTCGAACAACATTCTTTATATTTATTCATTCTCTTTAACAGATACTGATACTATTAACGTCGTTACTTGTTTGTTAATTCTGTCTTTCTGTACTGATGTGGTATGGTAACTTTGTGCAATTTAATTTTTTTCCAGGATCTAAATTTTACCAGTCAGTCAGTCAGTCACAACGTAGAACTTCGTACGTACGTACATCAGTTCGAGTTGCTATACCACATTAGCACAGAGATGCAGTTGTCGATTCAAATCCCATAGTGGTAGAAGTAGTAGGAGTATAATCAGAAATCCAAAAGATTAGGGTTTGAAGAAATTATTGAAGGAGTATAATCCAGTGAAAAAAATTTGGAAAGAGAAAAAGATAAAGACATGAGGAATTCAGAAGATTAGAATTTGGTAAAACACAAAGAGTGGATGCACCTTCGCCACTGCAAACGATTTTGAGCCATGTCATTCAACGTCTCTAACCATCGGTTGCTATCATCTCCCGAATCCCAACCAGGTAGTATACACCTACCAACATGGCCCAGTCCACTTGTCAGTGACTTCATTGATTTGTGCCACGTTTTGGTCTGGCCACCCCTAGCTTTCTTCCAACCTACTCCTACACCATGAAACATTGCACATCGGGGAAGTCGGTGGTCGGGCATACGTAACACATGTCCCAGCTATCTCAACTAATGAAGTTTCACTACTTCATCAATCGATTTGCCATCCCTACCTAGTACTCGTTTCCTAACAAATGCATTACTTACCCGGTGGTCCCAGGATATACGAGCAATGCTTCGAAGACACCTATGATCTAACACTAGTAGCCTACGAATATCCTCTACTCTTATTGGCTATGTTTCACTGCCATAAAGTAGGACGGAGCGAACCACTGCACAGTAAACCCGTCCTTTGGTTGCTAGACGGATATCTCGCCTACGCCATAAATGACGCAAGTTGGCGAAAGCTAGACGAGCCTTCTGTATCCGTGTTGAGATTTCGTCACATACCAGACCACAAGGGCTGATGAGACTCCCAAGATAAGTGAAGTGGCCTACACGCTCAACTACTTCACTCCCTATCATTAGTTCAGGTGTCGATGCAACCCAATCCTGAAGTAACATTTTGCACTTCGAGGGAGAGAATCGCATCCCGAACATGCCTGCATAGTTGCTTATAGTGGTCAGAAGACTCTGCATGTTGTCAGCGTCTTCACCGAGTAAAACTATGTCGTCGGCGTATTCTAAGTCAACAAGTGAGCCTCCCAGTAAAAGTTCAACTCCTGGAGGTTAAGTTGATGAAAGTGCTATCTCTAAAAGTATGTCAATGACAAAGTTAAACAAGAATGGGGAGAGTGGACAGCCCTGACGAACGCCACTTGAGGTAATCAGTTCTGATGACAATTCGCCATAGGCTCTAACGCGACCAGTTGTGTTCGAGTAGAGAGCCTTTATGAGGTTAATGTACTTCTTTGGTACTCCTTTCAGTGACAAACACTGCCATAGAACCTCACAATCAACGGAGTCAAATGCCGCCTTAAAGTCAAGAAATACTACGATTGTAGGACGTCTGAATTTGTGTCTATGTTCTAGGACCTGACGTAGGGTGAATATCTGGTCTATGCAACCACGTCCAGGTCGAAAACCAGCCTGGTTTTCTCTAGTCTGCTCTTCACGAGCTTTGGTTAGGCGACCTAGTATTATTGAAGCTAATATTTTAGACACTATATTAGTCAAACTGATCCCTCTGTGATTGTCACAGGAGGACTTTTGTCCTTTCTTATAGACTGGCACAATCAGTGATTGGGACCAGTCAGATGGAATTACGTCCAGTTCCCAGATTCTACCTAAGACCTCAGTCAATCTCACTGCTAGTACTGGACCACCATCCTTAAAAATCTCAGGGGTCAACCTGTCAGGGCCTGCTGCTCTCCCTCGCTTCAGATTTCCTATAGCTTTTTCAACCTCACAGAGGGTTGGAGGACTTACATCAATTCGCCATTCAGGACGACTGGGGATCGTGGGTAATTGAAGTGTGGCTGAAGGCCAGTTGAACTCATCCCTAAAGTGTTCTGCCCATCGATCCAATCTCCTGGATTGAGAATGAATAATATGCCCATCTTTATCTGAGATGGTTTCACTGATATTCGGGTTCCTAATACCGGTTTCTTTAACGAGTCTGAATAGCTGCCTACTGTTACCTATTGCCGCTGCCTTTTCCATCTCTCTTGCTTTCGCTACCCACCACTGTTCACGATCATTACGTAGGCTTCTTATAAGCCTGCGCTTAAGTTGACTCCGCTCTTCGTTATGTTCAGAGCCAGGTGGGATGAGTTTACGAGCATCTATCAGTGCGGTAGATGCTGCCGAGATCCATTGTTTCTCCCTAACGTTATGGTTTACCTTACTAGCGGATATCACTGCTGTTTCCACAGCTTTTCGGATGTCATTCCACGCTGCCTCGGGGTGGACACAACTTACATGGCTGCCTAACTGTTTTTCTAGTTGTTCCTCAAATATATTCTTAGCTTGCCTATCATTAAGTAGAACCCTTAGAGGCTTCCCTGCAGTGTCTTTCCTACGACCAGTAAGACGCAAACAGATACGTGCTCGCACTAGAGCATGATCTGAATCTAAACATGTGCTCCAGAATGAGCGACAGTCTTCTATCGAGCCCCTCCATCGGTGGCTGATAGCGATGTGGTCTAATTGGGTCCAACGTTGGGACGAATTCGGGGGTCGCCATGTCAAAAGATGTTTTTCCTTATGCTTAAAGTTAGTATTTGCAAGAAATAGGCGGTTATCTGAGCATAGCTGCAACAGACGGTCGCCATTATCTGTTCTTTTCGCCATGACACCATAAGATCCACCCAGGTGTCTTTCCCTTTCACTTAGTTTACCTACTTGAGCATTAAAGTCACCTGCTACTATTACTACATCAGAACGCCTAGCTTCTCGGAGAAGGTCAGAAAGTTACCTGTAGAACTCATCTTTTATATCGTCTGAGCTGCAGTCGGTGGGAGAGTAGGCAGGGACGACGAAGAGGCAACGACGAGTTTCCCTATCTTTCCGGGTCCTTACTGATCCGTTTAGTCGGACAGTGCATAGACGACTGTCTACTGGAATCCAGTCTAAAAGAGCTAGTTCTGCCCTAGGACTTAATGCTATACCTACTCCAGCGAGGTCACGGGAAGGAGCATCAGGGCTTCCAGATACACGAAGCGTGTATCGAGATGGATCTTTATTTTGATTAGGTGCGGTCAAATGAATGACACTACTCGGATCTTGTATACGCGTTTCGGAGACGCAGCACACATCGATAGTGTAAGATTCTAGAGTCCTAGCTAAGGAAGCCTATTGTCCTATTTGGCACAATGTTCGGACATTAAAAGTTCCTACATGTAGTTTAGAGCGTGGTTTCAGGAAAACAGGAATAACGTTCTGTGTACTCGAATCGTTTGCCCTAGCGGTGCGAGGTGATAAAAGGACGTGGGAAGGGTTAGTCGTGGAGATAACAGAGTTATTAGGTGTAGGAAGGATTTGAAAGCGACCAACTTGGTCTCGTGTGCAGTTAAGGTTATGAGGGCAAGTATTACTTCCCGGCTGCCCACACCGTGGAAGAGTATTTCTTGAGGGACCTGAAAAAGAAGTTGGATTAGTGTTGGTCTTAACAACCTGGGAGCGTGACCGCAGTGCCCAAGGAACAACTGCTTGAGGCCGGTCACGCACGGCCTTTTTGTGGAGGATTTTTGATGTGTTAGCTCCGTTCTTCAAAAGTCCTTACCGCCGGAGACGGAAACCCGTGGGATAAGGCGAGGTGTGCATTTTTAGGGTCGAACGTTTCTAACCCCACCCGTCCTTGTGGGAAGGCAGCGTCGCTGTCATGCTGGTTGTTTGAAGGAAACACCTTACTGCTTTCACACCTCTGTACAGTCAGCAGTACGACTTCGCCTTCGGACCTTGGGATTGCTGCTTTTAGTCTCACCGCTCTTCAACCGACCTGTCTGGCATGGTAGGACCTTGAGGAACGATTGTTCCAGCCAGCATAGCTCAATTGGATCATCACGATAGGCAAGCCCGACCACCACGTCAAGGTAGCAGCAACGGTCGGATCTAAATTTTATCACGGCTAAATGGTTAAAATTTCTGCTTCAGTCAAGATTGTTTTCTTATGGTGTCTAACGTGAACCGGCATACATTTGTGACAGGTTCTACAATGGTAATGGCTAATTGATATGTCTGTGATAAAAGCAATAAATCTTGGTTACATTTTGATACAAGTATACAATAGCTCTTTTGTCTTCTAACCTGGGGCACTACAAGAGACAAATCGTGTACTGAAGATTTATTACGTCAGGACCAAAACAGATCAATCAACTTTTGAATTTATTCCATTATTTACAGATTAAACTCAGTGATTACTACTTTTTGTCAAACTGTAACATACAATTAAATATCATATTGAATAAAAGATGGATGATAGAGAAATTGCGTCAAATCAATACATGATCTTACACTTCCTTTCTTCATAATAATTGTATTTAACGATTTAAAATACTCAACAATGATTGATTTATTAATACAGCATGTTAATTTATAAGATATAAAAGTATTTATACATACTTTGTATCGTTTAATACATCAAATGACATTCTTTTGCTAAGCCTGTATCTTTATGATCAACCCGTTGATTTTAATAATATTAGCTACATGGGATAACAAACTTCTATAGATAAACTCACCTCGGACTCTGTTATACGAAGAGCATTAACATCGCGAGCCATTAATAAAACATTCAAAGAAGCAGCATGGTCTTTTCCGGATGACATTGACTTTACTAGTTCCACAGCAAACGCACGACCGAATCCACGACTTGCACCAGTAATTACAACAAAACAGTCAGCATTACACCATGGACTTTTGAAAGAGTTTAACTTGTTACATGCACACTCCTCCACAGAAGACATCTGAAGACAAAAAAATCATATGTATTTAATGCAAATGCATTATTGCTTTACATAAAACCCTAACGACTAGCATAATCAATTGCTTGACAGACTACAGGAATCGACAATTATTATTCTTGATGAGCACCTAATACATGTGGCTTTTATCAGCGTTGGTAAATTCAAGATGAAAATGGATGGCTTAAACAGCTTGTTAGAAGAAAAATTGAAAACCAAAATATCTACTGAAATCCAGGAAACAATATATGAATCTAAAATAAATCTAAGGCAAGACAAGCGAAGTTCTAGAATAATCTATTAGTCTAGTGTGCCAAATAAACGTAAAATGTGTTCACACCACAAACGTTCAACTAGTCACACGTTAGTGAGCTTACGAACGATTAAGAGGGTAGTGCTAATCCTTCCTAGATCTATGCAATGCACAAAAAAACACCGATATTCACAAATACAACTTAAAATCTAATGATCACAAATTTTAATACATGTCCAGTAGTTAACATATTGGTAAGATCATAATGTAATTTTAGTGGTGAACACAATGTAAGAGCTGGTATCAATAACTGAAGAGAAATATTTTCCAGTCCTATGACAATTAAATATCAGTTAAATGTTCATCACTTAGGACATTTTATTAAGTCAGGATTTTCGAACATACGTATCATGGACAAAAGTGTGAAAACCGGAATAGGCAGAGACTTAAACTTGTTGATAACTTGTAAACTCTTAAAAACTTAAGATTCCAACCTACCACTACGTTCGAGAATAGTGGCTTGAAAGAGGTAATATGAGCAATAACGATAATGAAAACTGGGTTTTTGGGTACTGGGGACTTGGAAGACAATGCTTTTTGAGACGTGCATGAATATGATAAGCGGTTTTTCGGAAATTCCAAGTTTTATATTAGAGCTGTCTAAAGGAGGGAGGACCGATTCCTCACTATGACGGAATAACTATAGTTTGGCGTACTTCAGGTCTACAATACACAATATTGTCTGACCGTTCTCTCGTCTGAATATTAAACATAAACATCTTGATCATAAATTATTCTGTTGTAAGATTAGTCTGCTAATATACGATGGGTGATTGAAAAGGTTCGAGAAGATTCAAGGATCATACTCAAAGGAATTGTAACCATATCCATTTCATGACTATCACATCGGCTATTGCAGTCTTGTTGAGACAAAACGACATAGTAAAAGGTCACTGAAGTTTAAGAAACACTTGTAAAATCTGTATTACACAACCAACCGTGAAGTGCTGGAGATGGAGTGCGTTAGTTAAGAACAGATATAAAAGTGCCGTCATTAAGTCTCGTAAACCAAAAGAACGAGCATATGACTACCCATACATTAGAAAAACAACGATGTTACTTCCACAATGAAAAAATTGGAAAAAATGGATTCAAACAGAGCCAAAACGTTTGACTTTTTCTGGAGAATTATGGTCACCGTACTGGTAATTCGTAGTTGATAAGACTTTACGATACAAGAAGGCTGTGGAAACTCACTGTAGTGATCAATGATCAGTTAAATAATAATGGTTAAGCATTACAGGTGTGGCTTAAACTTTCGAGCGGTCATGTTTATATCTTACCTTTCTATGCATCGGAAGACATCACACCCTATGATTTTTTGACATAGTCAATTATTTTTTAGTGGAATTCGCTCGATCTTCCATTGTAACTGAAGACTACTCTCTATCTTTTGTTTTGTATGCCGTTCGCGTCCTCTTGTTCGGAGAGAATAAGACTGGCATGCTACTTTTCAAAATACTTTCAGTGACTAATTTATGGTAACGTATCACCAACACTTACAGGTAAACATTATATGCTTATGTGATAAAGAGCAGTGATGTTGAGAGGTTTGAACAGTAGAATAATTTGATCAGATTAGCTGGGTAAAAAGACGAGTGGTAGCTATTTCATAGAAGATTGATCAAAAGTACATCAACAACTAAACAACACTTCTGAAGTCTCACTTAGAACTTTAAAATGATAGCGCACTGCAATCCAACTGCCCACCAATGATTTCACTCTACGACCGACTAAAGAGCCTTTAAGTCCATACGAAAGAATACTAACGCTTCATATAAATCCTGCATGAAACTACATAAAATATTGTGCTTAATAAACCAACGGTGACCATAATTATCTATGGCCAAAACAAAAAAAGTCATTTGCATTAAATGCAAAATCTGCAGATCTAAAAATAAGATGGAATAATTGATATTCATGTCAAATGACTTCCCCGTTTGAACAGCCTTAAAATTAAATTACTACTGGACTCAATTTATAATATATACTGCGTTGTAGTACAATATTGTTGCATATATGCAACTCCATGCCTATTGTATAGTATACGTGGAGTTGCCGAACAGGTCACATGTGTGCTATTAATCCATAAATGCTGCTGTAAATCTGTGTCAATATTCTTTAGCGTCCGTACAACGTAAATACTTATTGAACGAAAAGTAATGGGTGCACGAAAATATAAGAATTACTATTTAAAATTCCAGAGTCGGAGCTGCAAGAACAAACAAAGTTAAAATTTCTGTATTTTTTTCCAGTGTGATAAACATTGGGTGAAAAACCAGCATCAAATTAATTGAGGTTCCATACGAATCCTGTGATCCACATAAAAACATATGACGTTTCAATTCTTACGTCAACGCTACAACTTTTGAATCACTGTCCCTATAGAATGTTCGTGGACGGAATAAAGGAAGCTTTTAGCATGTGAGCTCCAGTTTTTACCTACAGTAGACTACTGCATGATGATGATGATGTTTGGGTGTCTGAGAAATTCTGAAGAGGGTTTTCCATGGACACTGTCAGCAACCCCTCCCTACCAAATTATCCCTCAGTTAATCCAGTTAGAGGATACAAACGATTGGATGTGAAGATATTTTGATTTATGTTGATGAATGGAATATAAAATGCCTATTTTTTGTAGGTGGTGAGCAGACAATCTGTACCCAAACGTAATTCAACTTGAGTTGTCGACAGAGCTAGTATAGACAATGTGCAAATTAGTTACCGCCACGAACCAAAAAATTCGTCACGTGAAGAGGGACATTGTGTGACTGATTGTGCTGGTAAATGTTTCACCATGATCATAAATGGAAAGACACCATTTCAGTAGACACTTTACCAATGATTCCATTGGGATTCAAGTTTGATATAAGAGGAAAGACGTGGCCTGAAATTAAGAGAGCAGTGCGCTTGGAATGTTCTCAGATGACCAAATTCGATGAGACGTCGAACTCAAAATCAAAGTGAAATTATTTATTTTGAGAAGTCTTGATTATATTTAAGAAGTAAAAACCCTCGTGAAACTATCAACTTCATTAGGGCCGGTGTATACACATGAATAAACTTGCACTCATCGATCGATACCAAAAATCTGAAACCTAAATCAAACTAATTGGTCTACAACAGCTCTCTGCAAAGAAGTTGGATATTTTCCCAAGAATTCAGTGTAAAACCAAAGCTTTGCGATGCTACGATAATGCAGAGTAATAGGGTATCTGTAAAATTACGCCCTGGGTTCATTATTAGTACTGTTATAATGGTAGACCTAATCCCGAAATCGTAGATTTGTCATGATGTGACCACCTAATCGACGACATATTACGTGAGTAAAGACAAGCTATACAGAGTGACAGAGCCATGTCATCCGACTGAATGAATGTTCCCAGGTTCACAATTCTTGACTTTTTCTCGGTGCTACATGTTGAAAGTGAATCTTCCTAGTAATTATATATTCAGCTTGTAAGATCGTTTGGTTAAGAACCAATGTCACCACATACCCACCAACATGATAATTGCAATGTCTCCTAGTCCGAACACCAACATGTTGAAGGATTATAAATCAAAATTCCGTATATTTAACATAATGATCGTGAGGCATCCTGAAACAAACTGTGTCTCTCGTACAGATGCAGAACCAGAGCTACAAGTAAGCTCCCACCACTTAGATTGAACCTCAACTCTAAAGATATACCCAGGGAAACCCTCATTGTCTAAATGAAGTCTTTCAATCCTGGCACAGTGTAAGGCATGATCTCCACAGCTACGTCTTATGTTATGAGGGCTGAGCTATATTTGTGAAAGAACGAGACGGCAACAAAATAAGGTACACTTCAGAGTTAGTGGGCCTCAATCATCAACCCACAACACAGCACAACACCAGCTTGGTCACAATAATTGAACCAGCCACACACGAAAACTCATGTCAGGTAATCCCTGCAGAACCGGCCAACCGTCTGTAAACCATAACCTTGCCCATAGTTGTCACTCTAACCCGGAACAACTAAGGGGCTCTACAATAGCGTTAGGGGACTTACATGTAAAATATGAGAAAAACGTTTTTCTAGTTCTAACTAGGAGTCATAGTCTTTTCTGAAAATTGTGACCTCCCTGGTTTCAAGGACGACAAGGCAAGAAACATAATAAAGTAACTGATTGGCTCACAGTTACACTCTGAAAAATAAAAGTAAGAAAAGAGAGAGAGACCTCTGCGTTGGATACCGAATCGAACTGCAGAAGATGTCGATTTCAGAAATTAAAATTCGATAGCGTGTTAAGACGAACTTTGCTGGTAGGTTATCCGCTTTCGTCAGTTAAGAGAATGGTCTGCAAAGGTAGCAAAGGCCAAATTTGAAAACGATCTCAGTCACACTAAGTCCCTAATAAGCAAGCTACTTTCAGAAAGTTTCAGGAGTTACCATCTGTAAGCTACATAAAATGGAACAAAAGGTTGATTCTCAAAGTACTCGAAGAGCTGCGACTTAAGGGTCACCTTTGCTTCCTCCGAGGAAAGAAACCTTATACTGGAAAACTCAAGCAAACTGATTGGATCTGGATTATACGTCCGTGAGGATCTCAGACTGGTTGACCATTTTAACATACGATCAGTAGAAATAGCTGAGTGCTGTCGAAAAGGCGAAAAACCCTTACTTAAGGGCCCACAAGTACTAGCTGCTTAGAAAATAAGATGGTG